GGGGCAAGTAGAAAGTCATTTCTTTTTTTTTTGTTTTTGTTTTTGTTTTGGATAGGCAATGGGGTTAAGTGACTTGCTCAGGGCCACACAGCTAGTAAGTGTTATATGTCTGAGGCTGGATTTGAACTCAGGTCCTCATGAATCCAGGGCCGGTGCTCTATCCAATGGAAAGTCATTTCTTATTGACTTCCTATCATATTCCCTATTGGGGCTACTTAAAATTTTTCCCACTCTTCTTCAAGCTCCATATTCTACTCTTTCTTCAATTCAATCCAATAAGAATTGATTAAACACTTATATGACTTCTAGCAAATGTGATAGACCCTGAGGTTACAAAGATAAGAACAAAACTCACCCATTCACAGGGAGCTTACTTTCTGCTGGGGGAGGGGAGACATAATAACGTAGATGCAGGTAAGTAAATAGAATGTTTGAGGGATAGGGACACAAACAACTAGATAAATCAGTAAAGGCTTCTATAAGAAATGGCACTTGAGCTAATGGTTCTAAGAGGTCAAACTGAAAAAGGAGAGCATGGGACATACCCAATGCCAAGGCAGAGTAAAGGGAGATGGAATATTAATAGCAAAGAGGCCAGTTTGATGGAAACATAAGAAGAAGGCAATAATGTGTAATTTGCCTGGAGAGACAGACCAAAGCGGGGCTGTGAAGGAAGAAGTGGAAGCTATGAACTGGGGTTTGTATTTTTGCCTAGATGCAATTGTGCTTGTCGTTCGTTCTCTAAGAGGGCCATGACATCAGGGAGATGATGACATGACTTGCAATTGACTTTGATTTGAGTGAGGGAAGGCTGTGCAAGGTCACCAGCCTTACTTTCTCCACCAGAGCCATCTGGGTCCAGTGGCCAGATATTCATCAGGACAACTGGAGATGGCCCACCATGCAATGGAAGACCGTGGCCCTTTTAAGCTAAGGTCTTTTCAGGTTCTCACTTTGAGTGAGGTAATGCACATTCAGTGAATAGGAGTGAGTCAAGGGATAGCCCCTTTAATAATAATAAAAAAAAAATAAATCAAACTGGGAAGGGAAGACCCTCAGAATTGCTGGCCAAAAGAGAAACAGTATTTATATTCACTCTGAGCAAGGAGGGCCCAAAAAATAACCATTAAGTGTTGCTTGTAGCAGGACCTATTGTTGTCTAATCTATGAACTCCAGAGTGAATTGGGTTAAGGCTTGTTCTTTGAGAAAGAAAATTTAGCCAGCAAACCCCAGAGAGGAGAAGGAGAGGGAAAGGGGAGGCGGAGGGGGAGGGGATGATGAGTTACCCAGCTGAAACTGGCCCCCTGAGTCCTTATTCAGGCAGCTCGAACTACTCACATGCTGTGCTTGTCCTTCATTCTCGAAGAGGACCATGACATCAGGAAGATGATGACATGACTTGCAATTGACTTTGATTTGAGTGAGGGAGGGATGTGCAAAGTCACCAGCCTCACTTTCTCCTCCAGGGCCATCTGGGTCCAGTGGCTATAGATCAGGATGACTGGAGATGGCCTTGGATGCAGTGGGAGACCCTGGCCTTTTTCAGCTAAGGTCTTCTCAAGTTCTCACTTTGAGTGAGGTGATACCCATTCAGTGAATAGGCCTCTTTAATTAAAGAGTGAGTCAAGGGATGGCCCCTTTGATAATTAAAAAAAAAAAAGGAAAAGAAAAAGAAAAGAAAGAAATCGAATTGGGAGGCGGAGATCCTCTGGGTTGCTTACCAAAGAGAAACAGTTTCTATTTACATTCACTCTGAGCAAGGACGACTCAAAAAAATCAACCATTAAGAGGTACTTGGGCAGGGACCTGTTGTTGTCCAGTTCATGGGCTCCAGAGTGAATTAACAACCTTCTTTGAGAGGTTGTTGCTAAGGAGAAAGAGAGGCTGGTGACCTTGCACAGCCCTCCCTCACTCAAATCAAAGTCAATTGCAAGTCATGTCATCGTCTCTCTGATGTCATGGTCCCTTTTCGAGAATGAAGGACAAACACACAACCTAGATGCAATAGGGAACCATTGAAACTTCTTGAGCTGGGGAACAACATTGTCAGACCTGAAATTTAGGAATATCAACTTGACAGCTGTATGGACTGGAGGAAGAGAGTTTAGAGGCAGGGAGGGTAATTGAGAGATTATAATAATAATACAGATTCAGAAGTGCTAAGGGCCTGAACCAGGGTGATGTGGTATGAAGTATAGAAAAAGGGACAGATGTGAGAAATGTGGTAGTAGAATCAGCATGATTTAGAAACAGATTAGATATGGGGGAGGGGAGGTTAGTGAGAGTAGAGTTGAGAATCACTCCTTGGTTGCATCCCTGGGTTGCTGGAAGAATGGTCTTGCCCAGAAATAGGGATACAAGGAGTCAGGCAGGTTCAGGGAGAAAGAGAATAAATTGTATTTTGGACATGTTGAGTTTGAGATGCTCATGGGATCTCATTGTGAGTATGTCCAGTAAGAGTCTGAGATGTGAGACTGGAGGTCAGAAGAAAGATGAAGGCTGGATATGTAGATTTGGGAGTAAATGGCACAGAGATGATCACATGTGAGTTGATAGGGTCAGGTAGAGGAAGAATGTAGAGAAAGAAGAGTAGAAACTTTGGGACAGAGCCGAGCAGTGTATTCATATCTAGGGGGTTGGACATGGAAGGTGATTCTGCAAAGGAGAAAGAGAAGGATTGGTCTGAGAAGTGGGAGGAGAGTGTGTCTAGAAAGAGGAGCTGAGCAGGATTATAGGCACCCAGGAAGCAGCAGTCAGTGGATAAAATTGCAGGTCTCCTTTATAAACAGATTGTTTTCACCATTTTTACAGTCTAACAGAAGAGACTGGGATATATTAAACAGACGTAAAATATATATAATGAGCCAAGTGTGAATGACTATGAGGATTCAGTAGTGAATATATACACATGAGAATAGGGAATTTTATTTGCTTTTTTGAAAGGTGAATATTATTGAATGGACCTTTTTCCCATCAAACTAAGGAAACAAATTTTAACTAAAGAAACTTAATTTTAAAAATTAGCAACTAAACTTTGTTTTAAAATATAAACTTTTAAGATGAGACACAAAACAAGACTTATTATGGTGTGCGTGGGCACAAATCCTACAACTACATAGAAGGACATCTACAAAAATGAGATTGACCGTGTTCTGAAGGAAGAGCATTGCTGTTGTTCAGCTGTTCAGTTGTGTCTGACTCATTGGGACCCCATGAACCATAGCACACCAGGCCTCTCTGTCCCCCACTACCTCTCAAAGTCTGTCCAAGTTCATGTCCGTTGTTTCTATGACACTATCTATCCCTCTCATCCTCTGCCATCCCCTTTTCCTTTTGCCTTTGATCTTTCCCAGTGTATAACAT